CAAATAAAGTCTAATGTTACAACTAATCGGGGATCCCTTTTAAAAGGTATTTTTTAATGTTACACAAGAACTGGGAAAAAGAAGATAAGAGATAGACAGTCAGTATGTTTGGGGCTCTTATTGTGAAGGACTGAAGCAAGTTCAGTGGGTTTTGAAGCAGCGGGACTAATAAATAGTTGAAATAAATTATTGCACCCTTACTTTGTGGTTAATCCAAGAAAAGTGCCATTAGCGTAAGAGACAACGTTATTAATAGTAAATGAAACAAATACAATTCAGTTCAGGTGCACAATGGAGAATACTTCCTGATTTGTTTTTTACAACCTTTTTTCCCCTCAACATTGCAACTTTCTTTGTCAACAATATTTCAACCATTCCCCCCCAACACTGTAACTTTAATCTCAAAACTGGTAAATAACTATAACAAAAAAAAAAAAAAACTTCCCAACTCTTATTTCCTCTGACTGGCCTGTAAGATCTTGTGTTGTGTTACCAGGCGTGTGTTTACAAACTGATCCAGACGGCGGATAAAGTGTGAAAACTCACGTAAAAAAATAAAACCACAAAAGAGGATTAGGGATGGTGTTTGTCACCACCTATGTTTAGTCAGGGAACAGTTGTGTGTTTGCTCACGCTAATGTGGGGATTTTACCGGTTTTGCGTGGCTGCAAACATGCAAAGGGGTTGTTGAGGTTGTGGGGAGTTGTCAGTTTTGACAGAGTGGATTAGTTGGACGAGTGTYCAGGCCGTACCATATGAGCTGGTCRTTGTAGAGGAAGGCTGTGTATTTGATCAGGCTGAGGCTCTCCTCCACTCTGTTGACAAAMGACTGAATCTTCAGGTAGGTCATCTTGTCCAGAGGGAAGAAGCTGATGCCTCCGAAGACGTCCAGCAGGTCGCATGACTGCAGGTGGAGGGTCTGCAGATACTGTGAACGCACAGAGAGGAGGAGTGTGACAGAGACTGGGCTTCATTTACCAGCTTAGAAGAGCTTGTTTACGACTCAATAAAGAAAGTGGAAAAAGAAACTCTGGGTGACGTGATGCAGAGATGCTTGCATCACAAAGGGGATGAGACGCACTGAAACTGAACCTCTGACAGGTTTAGGGTGACACGGCGGAGAGGGAAACCTGTGTCAGTCAGAGAAAGGTGTTCCCTAACAAGAAGGGACATTTTTTAAACTTTTATAGGAGCTGTTAAAAGCGGGGAGTTATCCTGCTCAAAGTAAACGAGCCACAAACAACACACCAGGCGTGACAGCAAACACCTTACAGGTTTCAGAAATACTTACACAAACACTGTCATCGTACGGTTTAGTGTTCAGGAGCAGATCCGAGACCTGTCAGGCTCCGGTGGCTTTTAAAAACTATCTAAACGATATTAAAATAAACTGACACTCTGTCTAAAACAGTTTGCTGAGGATTGCATCGACAACAAAAAATCTCCAAAACAAACTTAAATAGATATCCATCTAGCAACAAATGATTAGTTGTTTTTTTTACCCTGTAGAAGAACTTTTCAAGCTTCTGGATGAGCAKCTCGACTCCTCCGGCTTCCATCGCTCGACTAAACGTGCCATTAAAGAGCTACAAGATAAGAAAAGCAAAGTTTCGCTGAGACGTTTTTAACAACCTTCAAGTGTTATTGTGAGGTTCTGTAAGGGTACTGTCATTTTGATTTAAAGGAACAGTTACTCAAGTTGTAAGTATCTTACCTGTTGTAGAAAGCTTTTTGAACAACCTCAGGTGGGAGAAACAAAGTGAAACCAAACAGGACTGATGAGCTAATGGCTAGTGCAAATTCAGTTAAGACAACAATGGACTGCTGCCATATTAAAGAGCGGCTATTAGAGTTTGGCGCTCATACCAACAAATGTGTTTTTTATTTTTGTTATATGAATTCTCCGATTACCAGCATACCAGTTTCAACTGCCTGAACATGTTTGGAACGTTGCRTCACGCTCGCCAGTAAACTGTTTYATGGGGGACGCTTTTCCRTGCTGCACCRCTGAACGCGCATGCAGGAACTAGCAGCACACAGGGCAAGCTAGCTAGAGTTGTCGTGGAGGCAGCCTTCTCAAAAACTGATGTCAGGTGGCGATTTCATCTCTTACATTGGCTGATAAAATTATTTTTTTAAATGCCATCTTTGCCATCGCTGATACACCTCTTCAGTGACTAAGTACTTTGTTACTGTACTTAAGTATAAATTTTGGGTATCTGTACTTTACTTGAATAATTATTTTTC